CTCCCCTGCATTCGGGGCCATGATGTGGACTCCAAGGATCTTGTCACTCTCCTTCTCGGCGAGTATCTTCACGATTCCCTCCGCATCATCTATCGCCTTTGCCCTGCTATTTGCCAAAAACGGAAACTTCCCGACACGGTAACTGACCCCGAGTGCCTTCACCTGCTCCTCTGTCTTCCCAACCGAAGCCACCTCTGGGTGCGTGTACACAACACCAGGAACCATATCATAATCCACATGCCCTTCCTTTCCGGCTATATACTCCACGCAAGCCACCCCATCCTCCTCGGCCTTGTGGGCTAGCATGGGCCCTGGGATGACATCACCTATCGCGTGAACACCCTTCACGTTAGTTGCGAATTTACCGTTCACAAGGATCCGACCCGCTTTATCAGTCTCGACACCAATTTTCTCCAGATCGAGCCCGCTGGTGAATGTGACCCGTCCTGCCGAGACGAGGACAACATCCGCCTCAATGGTAGTCCGGTCACCGCCCGCAGCTGGCTCGAGCGTTAGCTTGACGCCTTCTCCAGCAGGATCGACCGAGACAACCTTAGTCTTGAGGATAAACTTCATCTTATGCTTCTCGAGCGAACGCTGGAACTGCTTCCGGACCTCTTCATCCATCGTTGGGACAATGTCGGGTCCAAACTCGACCACAGTGACCTCCGAGCCGAGGCGGCCCCACACGGAACCCATCTCAAGGCCGATGTAGCCGGCCCCGATGACCACAAGCTTCTTGGGGATTTCCTTGAGGGCCAAGGCGCCGGTGGAGGACACAATCTTTTGCTCGTCGATGGTGATGCCGGGGAGGCTCTTGACATCCGAGCCGGTGGCTATTATGATGTTTTTGCCCTTGACAACTTTGTTGTCTCCCTCCAAAGTTTCAACTGAGATTTCCGAGGGGGAGAAGAGTTTGCCCTAGCCCTTGATGTAGTTGACTTTGTTCTTCTTGAACAAGCCCTCGATGCCTTTTGTTAAATTACCAACGGCTTTGTCCTTCTGGGCCATCATGGCGGGAAGGTCTACCTCGACGGAAGAGACCTTTACACCATGTTTGGCGAATGAGTGTGTTGCTTCATGATACATGTGGGAGGAATGAAGCAAAGCCTTAGATGGGATGCAACCGACGTTGAGGCAGGTCCCGCCGAGGGTCCCGCGCTTCTCGATGCACGTGGTCTTGAGGCCAAGCTGCGCCGCCTTGATCGCGGCTACGTAGCCTCCAGGCCCGCCGTCGATGACGACGACGTCGTTCTCGTCAGATCCAGAGGCGAATCCCCTGCTCGCAATCCTCGAAAACTTGGTTCCGCTGCAGATATTCTTCGAAGAGGAAGAGAACAGCGTCGAAGCTCTTCGTCTAGCGAGACTCGCCATCGCCATTTTTCGTCTGCTCTTTAGGGTTTGGTGATGCTATTCGCTCAGCAGAAGCTTTTTGAAGTAATGAGAGCTATAAGTTTTCTCATCATTTTTACCCCTTATTTAATTATTATAATACTAATAAAATAAGTAAGGACCTTTCAAAGTATCTTGTTTTATTTTGAAAAAAGTACTTCTTATCGTAATTTAAACGCCAGTTACATTGAATGTGTTATATTTTCTATGATATTTTGATATGATATGATATTTTCTATCATATCAAAATTTTTCATAATAATAGTTGCACACAATATTATATATAATGCAGTTTTTTTTTTTCTTATAGATTTGGAATCATTTTTTTACTACAAGAAAATGAGAAAATTCCAACAAAAATTACTAACAAGAATATAACGATTTTCTTATTTTGAATTGAGAAAAATCATGTCTTTTGGTTTCTTAAAGATATTTTACCTTATTGTGATTGTATATATTTATTAAAATGTATTACAAATGAGAAATGTGATAGATTATATAAAGTATAATTTATAAATTGCAATGATATGTTATTTTGATGGTATATTTTTTTCTATTAACTAAATAATGCCCTTAATATGAAATTATTTTGGATCTATCACTGCAATTAGCTTTCCATATGGAATTTCTATTTCATTTTTGCATAATACCAATGAGAATTTTTTCAACGATTGAAATATGGTCCATAAAAAATTCTAGTAGAAATTCAAGTAATTGAAATCTTTAAATTAACTAAAGTTCATGTAATTTAATTTGAACTATGTTGGAATAGCCAATGAAATTTTTCAATGAAAGCATTATAGTCGTTGGAATTTTCAGTAGAATACCTTAACGTTGAGTTATTCATTGCAATATAGCAATTTTTTGTAGTCCTCTCAAACATTATTTTTTATGTAGTATTTATTAATTAATTGTGTCTGCAATTTTTTTATTAAAAATATATTAAACACATGAACTTTTTAGTTCCTACATTTTTTTTTCAGAAATCACTCATTATTTTATCTCAAGATTACCTATTAGTTTACCAATTGAGTTCTATTTCTTACATATTAAATATTAAATAATTTAAACATTTCTTGTTTTATATGTTCAATATGATATTTATATATTATATTAAAAAATAGAGTAAATAAAAAGTTAATTAAAATTAGAATAATAACAATTTTTATTTTCTAACCTACATGGATAAATATACAAATAACTATTGTCTATCACCTCAAATTTATACATAAAATTAATAAGGACAAAATACTAACAAGCGTTTAACAACTCAACTCGATTACATCGATAATTTTAGAAGGTTTATATTTAGTTTTATTAATTATAATATTTTTGCTTATTACTTTGTTTCATATTTATTAGTACGTGTCATTTCATATTAGTTATTATATTAATATTTTTGTAAACTTTATCATGTTCTTTTACATGTTCTTAGTTGTAGATTTGTCAAAAAAAGCATGATATAAAATATAGAATTTTTTCGATTATCTGTCGCATTATATATCAATAATTTATATATCCTATATTATATTATATTTTAATTACAATTTTTTAATTAATATTTTAATTAAATATTTATAATTCATAAATTCATTAATAATATTGTCGAGTCAACTTTTGTTCATAAAAGTTTTAAAATTATATTATTTTCAATGATTTGCTTATGTTGAATTGAGAAAAGTTATGTTTTTTTTTAATTGTAACTATATAATCTATATTGATGTGCTAAACATGTATTACAAATGAGAAAGATGACAAATAATGAAAAATATAATTTATAAATTATAATGACATTATGGTTATTTTAAAGGCATACTTTTTCTATTAACTAAATAATGCTTTGAGTACGAAATTATTTTGTATCCACCACTGCAGGTAGATTTCGAATAGAACTTCCATTGAAATTTTTACAATTCCAGTGACATTTTTTCCAGCTGTTGAAATATGACCCGCAAAAAATTCAAACGGAAATTCACGCAATAATAATAATGATAATTGGAATAATTAAATCCACTGAAATTTCAATATAATGTAACTTCATCTCTGTTGGAATAGTCAATGAAATTTTATAATGACAGCTATACAAATAAAATATCATTTAGAAATTTCAGTTAATGTTTTACCGTTGTATTTTTCATTGCAATGTACTTTTTTTATTCCTTTATATATTATAATTTTTATGTAGGAGTTTTTGTTATTAATTAATTGTATTTATAATTTTTCTATTAAAAAAATATTAAACACGTGAACTTTTTAATTCCTATAATTTTATAGAAATCGCTCATTATTTTATCCACTATTACCTATTAATTTATCAATTGAGTTACATTTCTTGTACTTACATATTAAATAATGAAAAATATTATTGTATATATATATATATAATATGGTATTTATATATTATATTAAAAAAAACTAATAGCAAATAAAACGTTAGGTAAAATCAAAATAATTATTTTTTTAAGAAAAATAAATTTCTATCATACATGGATAAAAGTATAAATAACTATTGTCTCTCATCTAAAAT